GGGTGGGCTCAAACGATGCCCCTTTTCTGTGGGTAGCTGAGCACTGAAATGGCTGTGCCACCCGGGGACCCTTACCGGATTCAGAGACCAGTTCTTGGGTGGGAGGGAGGAAAAGTCGGTAAAGTGCTCAGAAACGGGGGTGGTGGGTGCAAAGAGCCAGGTTCCCCAGGGCTGCCCGCCCCACCGCAAGACTCCCCTCCCCCTGCAGCACCGGGGCGCCGGATGAACTGATTGCTGGGGGTCCTTTGGACAACTAAAGAACACTCAGATAGGAAAGGCGCAGCCTGTCTTGGGGGGCTCAGAGTCAGGGGGTCCAGCTCACCGTCTGCCCTCTTAAACCGGTTTTTAGGGGTGCCCGTGGGCCAGCAGGCGTGTGGACTGGCCACAGGAGAGAGGAGGGAGGTGTGCGGCAAGCCTTAAAAGCACGCCTCTGGTGGATGCGTGGCTGAGGAAGAGAGGCCGTCAGGAGAAAAGGCAGTCGGAATCGAGGGAGCAGCAGTGTGGGAAAGCAGATTCGATTTCACGGGCGTTTCAAGGGTTAATTCCCCCACAATCCTCTTCACAAGGACCCCAGGAGAACAGTTCTAGCAATGGGGCTGGCCAGGCTGAGCCACCTGTGTCCTCGTCCAGCGCGTGGCTTCAATCCCCATTTGTGCAGATGGGGAGCAGGGTCAGCTCTTCTGATTTTGTGACTAACGGACCTTGCTTAACAGAGTACGGCTACACAAAGAAGGATTTCTTATTCCAAACGACACTATGGAACAAAGGGGTAAGAATCCACCACACAAAGTAGAAGGTGTTCGATGGTTCAGGTGCAAGGTGCAAACAGCATCACCCTGCACCCTCTAGTGGCTGGTCCAGGGCACGCCAACAGGCACATGGCCCGCTCCTCAACTTCTCGGTGATGGAAGTCGGGATTTGGAAAATTCTCTACTCCCACATAACTAGAAAAAGGAGGAGGAGTCCTTGCGGCACAGTGGATTCAACGCTGGACTGCTAGCTGAAAGGCTGATGGTTCAAACCCACCAACCGACTCTGCAGAACAAAGGCTTCTGGAAAGCCTAGGGAGCCGTTCTACTCTGTCCTACCAGGTCCAGCTCCTTGGCAGTGGGTTTGGTCTTTGGCCCGATAAGAAATCCTCTTGGTTCCAAATCAGCTCCTGAGGAAGCAGCAGTCAGGATTTCAGATGGCGTACCGCATCGGGCAAATCCACTCTCTAAGGTGTTCAAAAGCAAAGAGGCCGCTCTGAGGACTTGGGTGTGCCTGACCCAGGACCTGCTCTTTGTAATCACATGCGCCAGGACCTGCTCTTTGTAGTCACATGCGTGTGGAAAGTTGACTAAGGAAGACGAGAGTATAACTGGTGCATTTGAATTGTGGTAGGGGCGGGGAAAGCTTCCTTAAAGTGAAGGCTGGTGAGACCGTGTCTTATAATTGGGTCGTGTTATTAGGAGGGATCAGGGCCTGGAGAAGGCCACCCTGTCCTCAAACAGGGGGCCCTCAAAAGGGAGGAAGGCCATCCACAAGAATGGGCCGACACAGTGGTGGCCAATGGGCTCATATGGAACAGCTCATCGAGGGGTGCAGGCCAGGCAGTGCTTTGTTCTGCTGTACACAGGGTCGTCACCAGGAGCCGGAGCTTACGCCGTGGCACCAACATAGTAATGGCTGGCCTTCAGAATTCCGGTGGCACTGAGCGAGTGAGTCCGTTTATCTCTGATGGGTGTATATGCCGCAGTCACCTCCCTTGGTTCTGGGACCGGAAGCAATGCATACGATTCTAGGCAACTGCCAAGCAGAGGCCTATGTAGGGGT